ACAAACTCGCTGATGCTTGTGCTGGTTCATCTTTGCCCGTAAGCTCCTTGTACACAGTTACAGAAGGAATGCTATAGATATCAGTATCTTTTTGGGTGGAGGAAAAAACCCTAAAATTTATAGAACAGAACAAAGGATTTTGTTTGGTAAGATTTGACAGAAAAGGTGTTCAGTGGGACGTTTTAAGACCCTGTTTTTTTTTATTTTCTACATCCAAAGAATAAGTAAGATTTGGACCAAACCAACACAAGTGAAGAGAGTATGGGGTTCTCTTCTAGGATGTTGGATTTCTTCCGCCACTCCACAAGACAGTGGGGTGTGGTTTTGGAGAAGCCAAACCTTGGGGGTAATTTACATTTGGGCTCCATTTTACCCACATACCAGAAGGCAAGTGGGGTAGGAAGGGAGGCAGAACCCAATAAAAGGTACCCGTTTTGCTCCATGTCTTGCTGGCGGTAACTCTGACTGCAATTGGCATGATACATATGGAGATATTCCTACTTGGGTATTAGCTCCATTATGATTCTGAGGAAAGAGTGACATCAAGTCACATGCATCACTTTCTGAAGCAGATGGACATGTCGTGGAAAGCCCTGCCCAGCTCTGTTTAGCTTATACAGGTCACCAGGCTCTCAGCTCAGGGTGGCACAAGGGTTGCCAACCCTCCAGGATTGCCCTGGAGTCTCCAGGAATTAGATAGAAATCTCCAGGAGAGTCACCTATGAGATAAATGATATGGCATTCCTTAAAATAAAGAGTCAATGTTGAATCCAATTTATACAACAGTCCAGTAGGTTTTTAAAATGTAATGGTCATGAGCATTTGCCTTCCAGATGTAGAGTCTATGCACCATAATCCGTAACTGATATCCGCAAGCACGCAGGCACATTTGCCTTGCGTGTCGCAGGCACGTTGGCGCTCCAGAAACCTCCCGGAATAGATTCAAACAGAGTTGGCAACCCTAGACCGTGGTGCAGTTGTATCATACCCCCAAAGAGATTGACAGAGGTGGGCGGGTGAGAATAGGATGGAATTCAGTGCAGACAAGTGCAAGGTGCTGCATCTAGGGAGGAAGAACAAGCAACACACCTATAGGCTGGGGAACTCCCTTCTTGTCAACACAGCGGCAGAAAGGGATCTTAAGAGTCATGGATGAACATGAGCCGCCAATGCAAGGAAGTCAGGAAGGCCAACCGCACCTTGTCGCGCATCTGCAGGTGCATCGCAAGCAAGTCCAGGGAAGTGATCCTCCCCCTCTATGCGGCGCTGGTCAGGCCACAGTTGGAGTACTGTGTCCAGTTCTGGGCGCCGGACTTCGAGAGATGTGTCTAGCATCAAGAAGGCCACTCGCATGATCAGGGGGCAGCAGGGCAGGCCCTACGAGGAGAGGCTGAGGGACTTGAACCTGTTCAGCCTCCACAAGAGAAGGCTGAGAGGGGGGATCTAGTGGCCATTTACAAACTCACCAGAGGGGACCAGTGGGAATTGGGGGAGTTCCCCTGGGCACCATGCGGAGTTACTAGGAACACGGCCACAAATTGTTAGAGAGCAGGTATAGGCTGGACATCAAGAGACATTACTTTAAAGTTAGGGCTGCCAGGCTCTGGACTGGGCCCCCAAGGGAGATGGTGCTCTTCTCTACCTTGGGGGTCTTCAAGAGGAGTCTGGACAGATATTTGGCTGGGGTGATATGACCCCGGCACCCGTTCCTGCCTGGGGCAGGGGGTCAGACCTAATGATCTGTTTAGGTCCCTTCTGACCCTAAACACTATGATACTATGATTTTAACCCCCAGTCCTTGCAACGTGACTCCAGCAGCAGCAACCTTTCCAACCTCTATCAAAGCTGACTAAGCCTTTAAAGACCCCCTCCTCCCCAATGTCAACATTTATATATTTGAACCTTTGCTCTAAATATTTAACTTATTGATTAATACGTTTCTGAGGAGTCATTTCGAGGTTTCCTGCAGCCGGGGCCCTGGCTCGTGACAGTAATAGCAACACCTTTGGTTCAACGTTAGGCTAATGCAAGCAACCTGGTTATAGCTTGAGATTTGGCTGTTGGTCATAACAGTAATGAGGGGGACTTTCGTGACACATTCAAAGGTTTGTAAATATTTACACATGCTCCCCAAGCGGGAGACTTTGAGACGGGCCTTTAAAAACCGAACGCGGGCATGAATTTGAGGCAGGAATAGCAAACACGAGGCCTCACTCCGTCAGGAATAAATAAGAGAAGAGCAAGAACAAAATTGCAACACTTCATTAATCCCATAACTTCTCATAAAGCATTACCTCATGGGCATTCCTATAAATCTCTTGGATTTGTTTCCATCTATTAATGGAGCGCTCAGCACGAGAGTCCAACGGGCCTTCCCCGCACTCCTTTCTCCTCCTTCGTCTTCAGATATTTTGGTCAGAAGAAAAAGTCAGTTAGACTAGATGGCCATGCAGCTTCCCAAAAAGATGCCTCTTGCTTTTGTTTCCACAGGGTGTAGCAGCCCCGACCAAGGTCAGAGCCCCATTGCGCCAGGTTCAGTACATAGAGACACACCAAGAGCTGAAGAGTCAACGCTTTAAGCCAGTGGTTCTCAGCCGTTTTAGGCTCGCGGCATCCTCGTTAGACTCAAGACCCCCTTCAGAAAATGCTAGCACTCAGCTTTCCCCCGTGTTTTGACGATGGAAAAATAATAGTGTGAATCTTCCGTTGCTGAGACCTCGGAAAGCCCCAAACAGCTCAGATTGGCTTTGATGCTAGGGCTTCCTAGTTGAAATCTCCAGGTGTATCTCGTGATTCATATGTAGATGTTTGCGCATCTAAGAGTGCTAGTATTTGCCTGGCACCTCCCAGCACACTTAAAAGCATCTCACAGCACCCCAGGGTGCGGCAGCACCCAGGTTGAGAATCACTGCTTGGGCACCGAAGTGTGATTCTCTTCCACCCTGCTCAAGCCCTTCAGGAGCTGTTGATGCAATGTGTCCTCCTTGCTATTTTTTGTTTTGTGACCCAGTTATAAGGTTCAGATGATGGTGTGCTATGAAAGTAGATGCATTATTGGTTTTCAGGGACTAGACCAGGGTGGAATAGGATCGCACCTAGGGCAGTTACGCACATGCGGGGAGCCTGCTTTGATGCACTGGAAATCGCGTCGGAGCAGATGCGATTAATCAAGTCTGCTGGAGCACATAAATTCACATGCTCTAGCAGCTTTGCATGTCACATGTATCGGTGGTGCAGCACATCTCCGAACAGAGAAAATGGAAGTGGTACGCTTTGAAATAAAACATGTTTGCCATGCTTTCATTCAAAGTGCCTTGCCTCCATTTTCTCAGCAGCGGGATGTGCTGCACGGCTGGGACATGTGGTGCATGGGTGCTTTTAATTAGCTTGGCGCGCTAATTAAAAGTGCCCGGTGCCACATTGGAAACACGTATTAAAATGTCTCTAGGTTCTTGGCAGACATTATAGTAATGGTGTGATTAGGACTGGAGAAATTGTATACCCTGTGCCCAAGACTGAGCATCCTGCCATTCTACATGTGCATGACAGGATATGCAATGTTTGGGAGGGTATAAAAGTCCCCAGATCCAATTCAACGGATGACTGGAGCTGTCCCCTGTCTGATCCTGATGCTCAGCTGAGTGTCGGGATCCAGCACAGGGCAGCTGTAGGTGTAAAAATGGTATGTATACATAGCCCAGCTGTTCAAAAGCCTGAGGCACAAGGACCCAAGATCAGGGAGAGCCTCTCCAATCTCAGGTCCTAGTGCTCCAGGCTTTTAAATCACTGCAGGTGTAGCCCAGCTCAGCTGTACATGCAGTGTTTAAAAGCTGGAAGCACCGGAAACCAGGATTAGAGAGAGGTCTCCCCATCTCAGGTTCCCATGCCATGGGTTTTTAAATAGCTGTAAGGTTCAGATGATGGTGTGCCATACAGCCCAGCTGCACATGTGAGTTTTTAGACCCGGGGCTTCCCATGCCAAGCCTGACATTCAACTGAGAGTCAGATGGGCACGGGGCAGCCCTGGGTCTCTTGCCACTTGTTCAGTTTAAGGTGCAATATAATGTGGAACACCTTTGTGGCTGATTAGCTATTTTATTGTGCCATATATTGGACTGAACATACAGCATAGGACAACTTATGGCACGATTAACTCATTGATGGTGCCATAAATGTAATGTCTGCCAGGGCCCTCAAATGCCTAAGTTCGCATAGATGCCCAATATATGGAATAAAATCTGGCTCTATATGACTTGATTAGGGTCACACAGGATGTCAGGGGCAGGGTAGGAAAGTGAACCTGAGTCTCCCAGGGTGCAGCCTTCACTATTACCATCCTTCTTCCCAAAGTATGTAAAGAAAATCTCTATATTGCCCTACACGGTGCGTTTGTGGCACTGCCTGCTACTAGACGGCATGTCTGAATTCTGCAAAGCCAGCCACCTTTGTGATCATAAAGGTCCTGGGAAGAAAGCCCTTGGAGAATTGCAAGGCATTGTCCTGTTGTGATTAGCTCTGCCACAGTCTTGGCAAGATTTAGACTCCACCTGTGGGAGTGATTTGCCCAGCCTCAGGGGTCGTATGCCTTGTTTAGCGAGGTCCTGGTGCCTTCCAGTGTCCCTGACCACCACAGGGATGGAGGGACACCGGGCTGTAGTGCAATGGGACTGACCTAGTCTCCTCCCTCATTATTCTTACAGCCTTTCCAGTGATTTTGGGGGGGTTACAATCCCCTGCAGGTGCCCACTAAGGCGGGATTCTCACTCCCAACTGACTAAAATGCAATTTGGATCCAGTTCTGGAGATGCAGTTACTGAGACTCTTTCTGGCTCCTCTGCAAATGCAGAAGGCATATCCCCAGCTGCTTTGAACACCAGTATGGCCCAGGGGTCGATCTCTCCTGCTGTGCCCAGGCATCATTGTAAAAACAGATCATTTCTTTATTTCCTAATAAGCTCCACGATTTCATGCACTCACTCCCCACTTTTCCTTTGTTCCAGGCAATGCAACAAGACCTCCAATGGCAGCGACAGCTGTGACCTGATGTGCTGCGGCAGAGGCTACAACCCGTACACAGACAAAGTGGTGGAGCGGTGCCACTGCAAGTACCACTGGTGCTGCTATGTGACCTGTAAAAAATGTGAGAGGACTGTCGAAAGATACGTGTGCAAATGAAACCTCCGAGCGATGTGATGCTAAAGGCACCAAAGCACAGTTTACAAAAGAAGAAGCCTTTCCCCAACCAGATATCATTAAAGACATGGATCTGGAGAAAGACAACTTAAGAAGAATGCAATTATGACAGTAAAAATAACACTTTTTTTTTTCTTTTTGTACTTTTCAATAGAAAACATAGAAGTTTTCCCCACCAATAAAACTCTTCCTTTGAGAAGATGGGGACTTACACCAAAACACATTCTGGATGGTACCTTCTTGCAAAAATATCATTTCTGACATTTGCCAATGACATGCAGCTATCAAGTGCCTTTAGTACCAAGAGAAACAGGAAAAGACGCTTCCCCGGGGGGAAGAAAAGCAACTGTGACTGAGAATGATAGAGGCTAGGATCCACTTATGCTTTCTAACCCATAGGGCACAGATTCACCAATGGGCAAAATCCCTGCTGAAGGGATGCACTACAAACTTGTCAGGAATATTTGTGCTTTTCTTTCCTTTTTTTCCCCAAAGACTTCATTTGTAGACCCGAAGATCCACTCAGGATGATGATGAAGTTAAAAGGGTTTGTGGCGGTACCCCAGAAACAAAGCACAAACCAACCCATGTAACCCTTGCTTTTGCCCACGGCTGAGACTCTTACTGCTCCACTGTTTTAGGGTAGGTTGCCAGGGTTTGAAATCCAACCATTTGCAGTAATCTATTGAATATGGTATGATCCGGGCACAATGCCAGGGGCCTGTTGGACACAGTGACCAGTAAGATACAATGACCTACGTAGTGGAATTAAGGTAAAATGGCAAAGGAAAAGGCAACTCGTGTATCTCTTTTCACCAGCTGTGACCTTTGGATGTTAATGTCTAAATTCAGTGTCTCTCTTGCTGCCTTGTCCTCTCCAGCCCCTTAGGTAAATATGGCACCATCTCCCCTCTTCAACAGAGCTATAAAGTCTTGACTTCAGAAACTGCAGAGACATCAGCAGTGCAGGAGGGGTGCGTACGTCATCAGAAATTCCAGATGAGGGAAGCCAGCTATAAGCAGACCTGGCCGCAGTGTGAATAATACGTAGGGTCTTGCCATGCCAACAGCATAGAACCACTATCTGTGGATGTACATATTTTATTTTGTATGCAAACATACAGAAATATTTATAAAATATATCTCATGCTTTTCTCTATTCTACTTGATATATAAATATCTATTATAAACGAGCTTAACAATAGTATGAAATAAATGCAGAAATTACTCACCGGTTGAAAGAAAAGATCGTAGAATTATTGCTATATTTAAATGGATAACATTGGCTTTTGCTTGGAAAGGTATCCCATTTCTCTCCTAGAGAATCGGGTGAGGCCAGTGAGACTTAGGCATAGTGCAGGGGCGGGCTGCTTAACGAGTTTTGGTGAACTGTTGAGGGACGCATGGGTAGCCCCACCCCATGATATGTGTCTCGCCCCTTGGTCGCCATCTTGGGACTGGAAGTCCCACCCCTAACCCCTGACCTTTGCTCCCTCCCCTTGCCCCCCGAAAATACTCCTCTTGGGCAGGGGGTTGCCATCTTAGAACCAGAAAAAACCCCAAATCATACAGTAACAGTCAAACACCTACTGTAACATATTTTAATTTTATTACAAAAAATATTTTGTTATGATTTGTGTTTGTGTAGTCTATATAGAGGTGATTGCATAATAACTCAAAAATAAATTCTTAGTCTTGTATATCGTGGGAGGTGTGTGTGTGTGTATGAGGGGGTGTGGGGTGTGTGTGTGTATCGGGGGTGTGGGGGGTGTATGGTAGGGTGTGGGAGGGTATGTGGAGGGGGTTGTGAGGGGGTGTGGCTGTGTGTGGGGGGCATAGGGTATATGGGGGTTTGTGTATATGTGGGGGGTGTGGGGACCTCCACACTCCTCCCATGGCACAGCAGCAGGAGGCAGGGTGTTTAGGGTGCTGGTGCCTGGTGGGGCACAGCTCTAGCCAGTGCCACGCAACTCAGCGAGGGGTGCAGCCTCCATCAGGCAGTCTGCATCGCCGGCACTCCTTGCACTCACTGGGCGCAGGACTGAAGCCCCAGATGCTGGAGCTATCTGTCTTCCCCACCCCGCAGGGGAAGGTGCCTGGGGTTTCCCTTCCCTGCCATGCAGCCGCGGCAGAAAAGGCAGCCAGCTCCAGCATCTGGGGCTTCCCTCCCATGCCTGGGGAGTGCTGGCAATACAGACGACCCGGCGGAGGCTGTGCCAGGCACGAACACCCTGAGTACCCTGCCTGGTGCTGCTGCTGCTGCCACCACCTACAGGAACTGCACACTGTGGGGGGAGTGGGGACCCGGGGAGCCAGCTGTCTTCCCCTCCTCCAGAGCCCCCCCGCTCCCTCAAACCTGTATGTTGCCTAGCCGAGCTCCACGCTGCCAACCCACCCCCCCGGGCATGGGCTTCACACTGCCACCAGCCCCAGCCCCACACTCTGAGCTCCTACCCAGGTGCAGCTGTGCCCCTGTCACTCCCTTACCTGCCTCCTGGAGCCAGCAGGCGACTGGGGAAGTGGAGCAGTTCCACCTGGAAGCTGTGTGCTGGCCAGGCTGGGCCTTTCTGCCCACAAGGGTGGGAGCAAGGAGCAGTATGGTATGTTTGGGGGCAGGGGTGTATACATGAGCACCTCACTTCCACCCCATGGGCAGAAGGGCTGGGCGGGGCACAATTTGTTGGTGGGTACCACTGGCCAGATGAAAGTGCTTGGCAGGATGGAGCTGGCCCACAGGCCATATTAGGCCCACTCCTGGTTTAGTGTGATCGTCTCTGACCCTGGCTGAGACTGAAACTCCGTGAATGCATCTCGTTTTGTACCATGTGGTCATCTTAGCATTGAAACGAAGCTACAAAAAGCAGCAAGGAGGAAGACGATCCACCCACCTGCCATATCAACCACTTTTTACGGACTTGTTTAGGGTGGAACAGGAGTATGACTGGGGGCTTAATAGGCGGAATAGGATCTGGCTATTGAGATATTTCTTTCTGGGATTTGCCAGCATGTTCCACCTTTCCCTGTCTCCCCATACTGTTAATTTAAACAAAATTAGCCAAGATCTGCTTGAGAAAGTAAGACGTTCTGCATTCTCCCGAGATTCTTATACTATCTTCATCGCTGTAATCTCTGAGTGCCTTCACATACCGTGTTGGCAAACAGGACTTAACTCTGCCATATGTGGTTGTTTCCCTCGCACCCTCTCAGCGGAAGAGTTGTGCATGCTGTGTTGTCCTTCGTATTCATTTTAATGTCCTTATAGGAGAAAAGGCCAGATTGAAGAAGTGCATTGGGTTCGTGGAGGGGAACATGGCAAGGTCCTTGGTCCTTCATCCTATGGGAGTTCATCCCCTGGTATTTGAACGGTCAGTGGGAAATTATGGTCTCCTGTACAGATGGTGGAGCTAGAGGAGCCGAGTTATTAACAAAGGTACATACGTCAGCGCATCTTGAAGATAAGAACCAAGACCTTGAACTTGACTCAATGCTCTATGGGAAATCAGTGTAGCACGCAGAGGAAACAGGCTTTCAGTAGGCCATGTTACTGCAGAGATATGCTGTGGTGTTCTGGGAGGGCAGGGATCTCCCAAGGGCTGGTGGCTTTTTGCCCAGGTATCTACAGTAAATACCCAACAAGCTAAGTCCCCGAATCTATAAACAGCAGCATTTCTCATGACAGACCAGATTCTGGAAGACACTGCAACCCAGAAGCATGCACTTTTTAAAACCCCCAGAATTTCACAGGCTGTGAAATACCACTCATACCACACACAGAGGTCTTTGGGAAAACAGATGAATGCTCAGCACTGTGAAATGAGTGATTGACCCAGCCCACATTGTGGTCACTGTTACTGTCTCTTTGCACTTGGTTGGGGTACAGCCGGCATGCCTGTCCTTCTTGGCAGCATCCAAGCACGCAGGGAGTCTATGTGGTGGACAAGCAGAGAGGGGAGAGGGAAAGGCGATTTCCAACTGGGTATCACTGCAGCTGGATTCACTCGGAGTAGCCCTTTGGCACTAGCAGCCTTAGGGGAGGGCATACCGGGCGACCTCCTGGGGCCCCACACTTTAGGGAGCCCCAAAATTTTGCAACTATTTTTTTTGGGGGGGTGAAGTTTTTGCAGTATTATTCATAAGATGTCTGTCAGTAAAATAGGTTTATTATGACTTGTAGTGAAATTGAAATAAAAAATGTCAGCCTTGCTTATAGGTCATTAAATTTAAGCTTCTAAGGGGCCCCAAGTGGCTCCCTTGGCCAGGGTCCCAACAACCCTAAGGCTACCACCGCCTTATGGATGAGAAGGCTTCAGGGTTAAAGCTGCAAAGGGAGCTGTGTGCTGCTTTTATCCTGCACGCATTACCCGCGCACAAGTTGTCTGAAACAACGGGTGAAGCCTGATGTTTTGATGTGAGAGTGCAAAAAAGGCAGTCTGCCAAGCTGCCCAACGGGTGGCTTTGTTACCCTTCCACAAAGGCCTGTAGATAACGGCTGTCACCCACCTCAATGAGAAAAGCCTATATAACCCTTTAGGAACTACGCAGAGCTGTGGGGTCAAAAAGTGACCCCACTGGAACTTGGGGCAGGTCTCCCCAGTGCCTCACAGGCCATGTCCAGAAGTGCATGGATGTTTGGTTCCCCGGGGACAACTAACGGCAGCATACCTTGTGATGCCATGAGCTGTCCCAGGGGAATGCCCATGCCACGCGAGCTCTGGTGCGCGGCAAGTTCCCCCACATGGGGTAGGTGAGTCTGGGGCCAGCACTGGGCTGGCCCCAGCAGCCTTATCTGGGGTCCTCCCGGAGCTGCAGCCGCATCGCTCCTGCCATGCAGAGCCCGAATGGCTGTGTGCGCTAGTCTGCCTTTTTGGCTGTGGGGTTTTTTGACCCCTGGATATCCAGGAGTCAAAAAAACCCAACCCTGTGCTGCTCCCTTGCAGCGCAGAAAACAACTGAACATGCAGTATGTGAACATGCAGTATGTGAACACACAGATGTGTCTGCTGCGCCACATAACACATAGCTGCGCTCATTTGGATGCAGCCACAGGAGCCAAACTTTAGCCCTTGATTTGAGCATGAACGGGACACTGTGGAATTGAAATTTTTAAAAGTAATTTTTAAAAAGCCTGTTTTGTTTTTCTTTTCCCCCCACGGGGCTCGTAAAAAGAGCCTCCTGATTAAGGAAAACAAACATATTCATTTAGATTTCCTTCTACCAAGACTTTCCCCCCCTGCTCCATTGTTGATGTTTATACGAGTCTTTCAGCAAGCAAAGAAGTAGCTGAGTAGACAGGTGAAGCCAGCTATGCCCAAAGTGCTGTCAAATGCTCGAAGTAAACAGAGAGAAGGAAGAAGAATGGTTTTTCCCCACT